GGCAAAGAAAGTTTTGTCGCCAATGGGCGCCCTTTGGCGCCAGCGCCAAAAAATGGATGTTATATTCATGTTTAGGAACCTCGATTACCCCTACACCAAAGCTTACAACGAAGTTGGTGGCAAAGGAAGCTTTGGCGCCAGTGCAAGGAAATGGATTCTATATTTGTGTTCAGGATCGTCGACTACCACTGTCCGTAGTTCTACAACGAAATTGGTGGCAAAAGAAGCGCTTTTCGGCGCTGGCGCCACCTGGCGCCATTTGGCGCCAATTGGCAAGCACAGTGTTATGCTCAGTTATTCAGGTAACTTCATTCCACTCGATTTTTTTCTTATTGCAGGAGTTATGACACATTTCTCGATTCGATGTCTTTGACTTTGGTTCAGCGAGCAATCCTGGACACTGCATTGAGAAATGTAATCGCAAAATAATGTTGTATTCTTACTGTTTTTTCGTTATTTTGTTCTTTTTCAACTACCTAAACCGCAGCTCGTGACTTGTTCTGCAATGCCCTTTCGAAAATGTTTTGATTTCGGCCGCAATATTGCTCCCTGTGTGAGTTTTTCTTTTCGGAGGTGTATTGACGTTGTTTTAGCCGTCTTTACAACTCTCAAATTCCTTATTCAGAAGGCGTACATTTTTTTCTCACAATACAACATACTTGCGTTCATAAGGAGTTTTCATGTCCTCTTAATTGTTTTGTGTGAGCTTTATGTAAGTGTCTATAGCATCGTATCTGTGTGTTTTTTGTTGCTTGCATGCATTTTCGAACGTGCTCTCTTTTTTAGCCCTGTTATTTTTCAATCTGCCTCCGCATGCATGCTTAAAAATGCTTTTTTCTTTAGTAGCATAATATTTCCATTTGAAAATTTCACTTCATAGTATTACACCGATTGCGTCATTGTTGTTTGCATTCACTCAAGCTACCACTCACCACGCTTTCGCACTATTTTCACCCTTCTTGGTCTCTTTTCCATTGTCAGAAGTGCTGTACTCAATTTCACCACTCATACAACCAACAAAAATAGTCATTCAGTGAACGCGCGTACTTATATTCGTACGTAAAAACGTATCGGCGCGGCCGCTTTAGCCACAATAGATAAATGAGAGCCACGAGCGACCCAATCTAGGGCTAGAGGCCAAGCAAATGTTCAGAGCAGCTAGACCGACAAGTCGTAAAAAGGTGATGACTCGACGCCTGATTTGAGCAGAGAGAGCAGTCAGACTTTCTCAGTCTGCGTCGATAAACAACAATTGTTACATATGGTGTAAGTCATTTAATACATGACGCAGTAATCTAAGTAACATAAACAAAGTAATCAAAGTGAGATATCTAGGAATGCAAACAAATTTTGATACCTCTGGACAGACGGGGCACGACATCTCTCCGACGCAACCTATATTAATAACGTCTTTTGTGTGAGCGCACGGGTCAAACAATCACGATTGATAGAACTAAAACACATATGCCAGTGGCCGGCGTCCAGAAACATATTATCACTATGAGCCTAGTTTTGTAGCCCATGGAAGAAGATGTAAACTTCCTCCCCTTTATCATGCAAAGAAACCGTTCGCAAGAACAACCATAAGCGTCAACTATATGCATGTACTTCATAAGGAACGCTTCCCGAGTCCGGAGTTGGACACAAAACCCAGACCACAGCACACTAGGAACTCGTTTGTTTACTCACACAACCAACATTCAATATCGTCGAGAAGTCCTTAACGTATCAATTATCACAAATCGACAAGGCTCGTACCCGCGAAATTACTAGTGAGTGGCCGAACTACTCGGCGTGGTTACATGCTCATCGCCCAGACGCAGAGAGATATCGCGATGATACAAAGAGGGATCTTCCAGCGCGCACCTCTATCACCCGTCACATCATGATTTAGTCATGCGACATTCTATCAAAACATGTCAACGCTTGCGTGTTTTTAATAACCCGTGTGTGGTCTATATTCCGAATCCATTGTTTTATATCTCCCAGCAGTTCTCCATCATCGCCCCCTTGATATGTGAGCAGCTTGTTGGTGGATGCTATCACCCTGACACCGTCTGGAGCGTCTGCTATCTTCAGCTCCTCCTCCTCCTGGCGCGACATATTCCCACCGCTCCAATCATGCGTTTGAAAAAAATCTATTGAGTCTCCTTGGCAGATTTCCCAGAATTTCAAGAGTCCTACTTCTTACCTAAAGGAAACTGCAATCGCAATGATTTTCATCCTCCTTCAAAATAATAGTTCTTCCTTAATATTACTGTTTCGAGCTTATCCGTGGGTCGGCCGATCTTGTTTAGGCGATGTTTCAGGTAACTCCAACACGATTCCACCGGGTTGAAGAAACAGTGAAATGGGGGTAGCCTGATTAGGGTGACCCCCAAATCACTGCAGATCTTTTCGGCGGCATAACAGCGCAGAGATGCAAGACCGCCTCGACTCTCCACGAAGTAGTTGAGCTAAATATTGTGTATAAAGGTGATAGCTGAGGTCGTTCTAATTCGAAGAGAAACCTCTTCGAGAAGCAAACCTTTTGTGGTATCCATAGCCACTTCAATGCCGTGGAGAGCGAGGTAGTCTAGTATTTCTTGCTTCGTGGAACTCGCAGTTGGAATCTGTCAATAATATTTCCTCTGTGAATCACGAAAAAGTCCAAAGAGTTGGCCAAAATTATGATGACAGCGTGTGTGCATGTTTCAAATCGCTTTTTTTCTAAAGCTCTTCACTTGCGTCTTTTCCTGTGGGTTACGCGAGAGGCTACGACGTCTCCTCCCTGTTTAAACTAAACACCGTGCAGGTTTCAGGAGTACTGAGAATAATATCGTAGTACGCCACTTTTCAAATTCAACAGAGAAGGGGATCTGACCACCTCAAAAGACTCCACCTCTCATGGATAAGAAACTTTGCCAAGTACCTACTTTGAGCTTTTCAAGTGGCAGATCTCGATCACAATATGATTTGCTTTGTGACACTAGTGGCAAACAATTTTCTGAGCTTCGTTGATTTGATCGAGCTACACGCGATTTCCTGCAGAAATAAGCTGTCCGTCGTCCCTCATCAGTTTAGCCTCCTTGTCTATTTCTTACTTTTGCACGCTCTGTTGATATGGCGCACGTGTGATATCGGACCGCACTAAGGCTAACATTGTCTCCTTGCTGCAAACATCTTTTCATTAAAGAGGATGCGACGACTTAGCCAGCTCATCACAATCGCCCAGTGGTCCATCTTGCAGCTGAGTAATCATCCCTGCGTGGAGTCCTAGTTTTCAAACTCCGGAGGAGGGTGGGTGCAGGCCGGGTACAATACCGTCTTCCGATAAGGCCGTCATGAGAATGCCGCGCTTCCCTTTCGTTTTTCCAGCATTCTTCCCGAAAGAATAGTTCCGCATCATTTCAGCCGAGGGAAAACGCGGCATCGTTGTGTCTACCCAGCCCTTCCTCTTCACCATACCTTCAAACACCCACGTCTCATCCATGTAGACCACGCAGTCCCCCCTCTCCCTGGCCTCCTTCACTTTGCTCAAGTACGACGATCTCTTGAGAGACAAATCCGCGCGTTCAAATATGAACCGCTGTCCCTTGAGCAGCTTGTAAGAGAACCCCGAGACCTTTCATAAGTCTCCAAAGTGTCGTCTCTGATACCACCTGCAGATCCGCGTAGCGTAACCCAGATGTGTTGCTGTAACCTCCACAGTGGCATCTTTCTGCTTGCCTTACGTGGCTGCACTCAGCTTGTTTCAGCGTTCACTCCGCTTCCGTCCAAACTTATCCATCGCACCTCCTTGATAACAGCCCGTTCGACTTGGCGCGCCTCGCTTCTTACCGTGCCAGTTCACTTAGCGATCCCGCCACATTTTTTGACTTCGGGCTGCGCGGCTCTTGACCGTGACACCACAGCACACAAGCCAGTTATGATGCCTTCTCTCAAATTTGTCCGCCTGCTCTTCTTCTCCCAAATTGTCCTGTCTCTTCTGAAAAACCTCGCACGAAGGTTTGCGATCATGTCTTTTGTTCCGGATTATCGAGCTTGGCGTCCGTTATTCCAAAGATTAACATCGGTAGCCTTTATTATGACCGAACCGGAAATGCTTTCGAAGCATATAGCAGAGACCGAATTCTCTCGCCCTGTGATAAGCCTGCGCATCGTGCCTAGGCGCTGAGCCTCGGGATCCTGAAAGAGTCCTTCAGAAAATTATGCGGTGCACTGATATTTCAAAAACTAGAGACCTTTACTAGGCACGATGTACCAAGTGCTCCTTCGATCGCGTCAGCCACAATGGTAAGGCAACAGCAGACTCGCAATTCGGTTACGAGAATTTTGGTAAAGCGCGAGAAGTTGCCATTAGCAGCTACAACGATTCCTCAACTTACATTACTGCGAGTAGCACTCATTTTGGTTTCCACGAAGCAAAAGGTTCGATAAAAAACTAAAAATTAGTGAAAATACTTCAGAATTTAATTCGGTATACATGCAGCAGTGAAGGGCCTGGAACCAAAGCCTCCATTGCAACTATGCATTTACTGAATGACAATTTTTTGTTGGTTATATGAGTGGTGAAATTGAGTCGTTGGCGATGTTTTAGGGTAACTCCAACAGGATTACGCGACTTTCTGGTTTGTTGAAGGCGAGGGTAACGTGGAACACGGGAATATAATAACTCAGACCACTTACTGTTTTCGATCGAGTACTCGATTCGTTGCGATTATCGCATTTTTCATGCGCGTTCAGCATAGGAATACTTCCTTGTTTCCTGACTCCCTGAGATGCAGTGATTCGTGTCATCGTGGAAGGAAAACAATATTAGCGCTGCTACGGTAAGGCAAAAGAACGCGAAAGGAACTCGCAAAAACGTGTATTAGAACTATTACTATTATCATCTCATACTGTTTTTTTACTCACGATTTTCACCATGTGAACTTGAATAAAATATTAATATATATATAATATTTTTAACAGTTTGAGTCATTTTCTTCAAAAGGCTCGGTTCGAACTTGTCGCCGCAATTCTGCATGCTCAACCCCATTGGCGATCGTGGAATTCTGAGGCTGGCTGTGTGAACTAATCTCCTGAGCAAATCGTTTATACGATTCTCAATGAGTTTCTATACCGCAATCCTTGAGAATTTTTATGAGCTCCTCTATCAAGCGGGTTTGGTTGTTCATGGACTCCTCGAATGTCGAATATGTACCGTGCACATATGACTCCACTGATCGAACAGTTTCTTTTCACTCTAAATAAATTTTGTATTCTGCGACAGAGAATGGCGTGGTGCAATGCTATTTATACCATCAGCTTTTCCTTCCGAAGTTTTCTTAATTCTGTCGCCGAAACGCTATGTCTCACTGGCAGCTCCACTTGGTCATCATCTGAACTTCCAGCAAATTCCTCGTCCACTTCAACCTAAACACGACACCAGTAACTATTAGCACATCAACGATCATATGTGACATTGTTGAACCTCGATTTTTGGACCTTTCCTATTCCCCTGACTCGATACTCTCTTCGGTTGTTCGCGTTCATCTTTTTCCACAAATTCTTCGACGCCTTCTTCGTCCACGTCTGGCGATATATAGAATATCGATAAAGATCATCCTTCTCATTTTGCATCCTCCGCGCTTCTTTCTCCATTTTTTCGAAAGCTTCAAGTCGGCCAAATCCAGTTTGTTGATGATATCTAAGCAGTTCCAGATAATGGGAAACGCAAATTGTTCTTTTTTTGGACACAAACTAGCAGAGCAACTCACATTTTCTCGACGGTATCTGATGTCATAGCTCGTTTTTTCTATTGCTGGAGTGGTTTTGTATTTCGATAGAAGTTAGCACCAATCCATTTTCTCGAAATGCCAGGTGCTATCAATGTCCAGATATCCCTTCTTGTCGAGTTCGAAGTCGTTAATCTACTCTTGCAGCCCTTTATCAATGAATTGTCGTGCTCCAATGCTCCGCTGACCACAAAATCCGAAACTGCTGAAGGGATAGGGGTGATCCGCCTGCGATTATCCATTTCTAAAATGGATATGGAGGTCTTTTAGTCACTGCATATATTTTTCTATTGTTTGTTTACGCTTCTATTACTTATTGCTACTGTTTGTTCTTCACTGTATAATGTTTCTGTTGTGCTATGTGATGTTTCCGTTTTTTATTGTTTTTGCATTATGCTAAATACAAGAAATATGCACCGAATCAACATATGACATGCAATGTAATATGCAAAAGCAAAATAATATGTATGGGCCCGATCACACCATTAGAACATTTATTTTAAAAGATTCTGTTTGGTCAGACGTCGTTTAGAGAGTTCGTAAAGTGAGTCCAAAGTCCAAGAAGCCGTCATCAATTCATTTCACCTAACTAACTGTGTTCATTTAGTGATTGGTATTGAATATTCTAGTTGCTTACAATCACTCCATAATCTGAAATCAAGTAAAGATTGTAGAAGCTGTCGACCTGACATGTGTTAATTTCTCGCCTTGGGCCTCTCATTTGAGTCGGCAGAGGAGTATCAAATACTAAAATGAAGCAATAGTTGGCCTATTAGGAACTATTTCTCGAATACTATAATAGTTGCAAATATATGAGTAATAAACGTAAATATGTGAAACGTGAATATATTCCGAGAATGAGGTATGGTTACGAGAGGCGCCTTCTG